ACTTTCAGTCCAACAGATTATTTTGCGGAGTATTTCGTTAGTTTCCGGTAGATCAGTTGCCCCGTTTTTGCTGAAAAAAACAAAGGCGCATTATCATGACTGTATCTGTTGGTGTTTTTATCCGTCTTTTTTTGTTGTTTATGAGTGATTGTGTATTAGCGGGTTTATCTGTGAAAAATCGAACAGTAATGAAGAAATATGATGTGGAAAAAAACTGTAATCAAAAAGAACTGAATAAAAAAATTGTAAAAATTTCATAACTTAAATATCTACAGGAAGAAGTGTAGAGGAAAAAAGTTTAATTCGTTTTTTTTTTCTTCTTTTTTTATTTGTTTTATCTCGTTTTCTTAAACAATATAAATTATATTTGTGCAAAAAGAACAATTGAGTTAGTTAGTTGGTTGAATTGCAATGTTTTGGTTGTTGCTGAGGCGCCTTTGCTTTTGTTCGATAATCAAAAAACACTACAATTGTTTCTGGCATTTTTGTATTTCGCCTATTTCGATCTCATATTTGTGTTTTAATTGGTTTGGCCTTCTCGCTGGGTATTCTTTCAAATGCAAAAATTTATTCTTTGATAGTTTTTGAGCAAATATTCATCTAAAAATATCATTGAAAAAACTATTATTAGATTATTTTGTCAAAAGCTTTTTTTTCTCACTAAGATTTTTTTCTTGTTTCTTTCTTTTATCTTTGATCTTGTTACTGCCCTGATTGATAATAAGCTTTTTTTGCCTTTTTCTTTCCTCGTTGGCATTATTGCTGTCGTTGTTGTTAGTTTGTTGAAGTCAGATAATTTTAAGTGTACCATGCATAACTGTTCATGTTTGGAATTTTACTGCTAAGAACAGATTTTACGAGCCACCACACTGAAATGTTTAGCGTAGACTAATTCTTTAGCTTCTTGGTGCATATAGTTTGGGACTCTTTTCCAGTGACCATATCGTCCGGTCTCCTTTCCCTGTACAGATACCGTTAAACCGCTAAAGGCAGGCGGCTGTATCATACACGGAAAACCGTTGTGTTTTTTTTTTT